TCCACTGAAACCAAGCATTCCCAATAACCAAGCAACCCCAATGGCACAGAGTGTCCTCACAGCACTGAATGTCCCCAGAAGCACCAAGCATCGCCACTGGCACAGTGCATCACCACTGGCATGGCCAGAGGCACACATGGCACCCAGTGGCTTGGGATGGAGGTGTCCCTACTGCAAGCTGATGGGACATAAGATTTGCTGCTGCCTAGAACAAACAAGAGATCTATTAGAAATATGGTGTTTGTTTAAACTTCATTATCCAGAGCTCTTTATTACGCATAAATCTCTCCTTAGGGTAAGCTGACTAATTTTGAATGGGGTATGTATGTCACATTCCTACCTGTGGTACACATATATACGTGCCTATCCCATATGCATGAGGTAGATTTGCAGAATTATGATCATTCTCTTGCAGATGTTGATGGTCCCCTCCAGGACGGTGCTCAAAACAAGGATTCAGCCCTCAATCTGTATTTCTACCAAGGAAAAGCTCAGCCTAAACTGGGAATTGTTTGTGGTCTGGGCCTTGCTAAAGAGTGGATGGAAAAAGAGTAGAAAAGAGTTTTACAAATGGTGCAGATGTTGTCATTGCAAAGTTGTGATACAGCCATGGAGGTCCAGGGGATGCCCCTGGAGGTCCAGGCTAGGGATGGCTTAGAGAATGAGCATGGGCCACAAGTTGGAAGCAATTGCCTACAACCTCTGCTATTTCCAGCCTCACCAAAACCAAACCTCCCTCCCTTCCCCAGGCAGCCCTGGGTCGGGCTGGCTAGCTGTAAGCTTCACCCATAAAGCAATGGATCCCATCCCTCCCGTCAACATTTGGGAGTCCTGTGCAATGCCTCGAAATGCCACATAGGGTCCTGTGATTTGTTACCCACCTGGCTGAGATGTGCCATGAGAAGAACAATTCCCCTGACGCCAGCATCAGAAGACCTCTTGCCCTTTTGGAGCTGCATAGAGGCTGATGCCTATGAGGAAAAAGGGAAGAGAAATAATACTGTTGCTTCTGAAATCTCAGGCTAATTTTCCCAGCTTGCTGCTGCAGCAGTATCCCTGTTAGGGAAGATGTGCTCACAAAGTCCAGCTCCCAAAGGCTGGAGAGAAATCAAATCAAGTCCAAATCTTTTGTCCAAAACCCCAGCAATCTTGCAGTGCTGATACAGAAGGTTTGCAGTTACCTGCTGCAGAGTCAGCACTTCACCTTTCTGTTTCCTGCCCCAGAAATTAAACCATTATTGTCCCTATTACTTTGTTGTTCCTTCATTCTCACCCTCACTTCCAAGCAGAAGGAAGAAATTCTCCTAAAGACTACGATCTATGTGAATGAATTTGTCATTTTTTACATTTAAATCTCCAAGCTGATGGTGCACAAAATTAGACACATTTTTAAAGCCAATCACCAAATAATGAAAAATCAAAAATTAAAAAACCTCATTATAATATTTTCATGAAAGGGAACTAAACGTTGCATTATCCCTCTTGTGATTTTGCCCATTCTTATGGCCACATTGAGGAACATTAGGAAATATAAAACCAAATAGGATTACGATATCAAATGTTGGCAATGCTTTGTGCATTTTATCTGTTTTGCAATGGACCAGTAATGATGAGGGGCTAATGGAAACTGTGGACCCAAAATTTATAACAGCTGCTTCAAAGGGAAATTCTTCTGCTACGTGGATCTTATTTGTGTGGGAAAACCCAATTACTCCCAGGTTCTTGTACCGTACTATTTTCTTTTATGATGCTTTTTGCTGTAAGTGCTTATTACGATTAGATAACCCAGTTACAAATAAACTGTGACCCTCCGCTCTTGTCTCCAAATTCACAGCTTTCCAATTTGTCACAGCTAGTTGAGAACTTGACTTCTTATTAATTACTACCATGGGGTCCTAAAGGGAGTTGCAGGGCTACAGCATCGTCTCCTCTCCTGTGAGGCCTCATCTTTGAGCATCTCCGAAAGCTCAGTCTTTGTAGAGGCAGCTGCTTCTTACTGGGAAGAAAAAGTTAAGAAACTACGAAAGATTTCAGGCATATATCCTGAGATTTGAAGAGCCAACAGTCACCCAGCTGCAGTTTACAAGGCACAGCCATCTCAGGTACACACCTGAAGGACACAGATGGTACTCACGTTCTTAATGACATCAGTGAAAAATCCCAGGGATCAGAAGATGTTGTACAGCATCAAGAATGTAATTTCAGACTTCTTCAACCAGGTTTCTTGCTCCCATGTCCAGGCATGGGAATCTCGAGCTCAGCCACGTCTGCACTGTCACATGCTGAGCCCATCCTCTCCCCAGGGCAGCTTCATCCTTTGCACTTGCACCACTGGTGCCTCCCATGTCTGTCCAGCAGCACGTCCTCCCATGGCTGCTCAGGCCCTGCTTCCAGTGTGGGCACATCCATGCTGCTTCAGGACAGCCCCAGGGCCAGGGACAGAAAGGGCTTTGGAACAAAGTAGACTGTTTACAGCTGTTAAACAAAAAATAATTCAAGCAATGTGAGAGTTGCATAAAGCCTTCTAATTACAAAGACCTGGCAAAGAAACATATCTGGTGATTCCTAACATCCACTAATTATCAGCAGCATTTCTACAGTTAAGAAGATAAATGCTCAGCTACCCTCTAATAGAACTCACTAAGCCCAATTTCCAAGTAAAACAAATAAAACCTGATTTGCAAAGTACACTATTAAATATTTTATCCATTAGCCACTGTTAAAATCATTCTGCTATCCAAACTGAGCACCTTCTACTTGGACTGTTTCCAGTGCACTCCAAGAATAATATTCGGCATCAATTAACGACCAGTTCTCGTGCTGAACCCACAGCGTGCATTTGTGATGACTGAAATGCATCCTTGCTGCTCTCTGAATGATAGATGAACTGCAATCCAAGCTAAGTTACAGCAGCTGCCTTATTTTGGTACTTTGTTTATATTTTAATTAATGTCATCAAGAGAATATATTGATTTGGTAAGCTGTTTTTTAGTGAATCATCATAGCTGATGCTTGTGGCTTTTTAAAAACCTTTGGTACAGCGTGTGAGAAGGCTTCATCTTAAAAAAAAAGGAAGAAAGAAAGAAGAAAGAAAGAAGAAAACATAAAGGAAAAGGAAGGTTTCAGTCAGCCCTAATGCTACCGAAATCCACAGTGCTTAATTTATCGAATCTCCTGTTAGTGAATGAACAAAGGTAAAAATAACAGGCTAGTTATAAACTAGTACTATGATGATGACATCGTGAATTATTTAAAAAGGGCATATTCAGTGTGACCATAGAGCCATCAATCATAATAGACATTGATGAGAAAAAGAGGTTTCAGTCACTTCCTATCTGCCAGGAGAACAATTCTATCTCACAGGTAGCTGTGAAGTGCCGCTGACCCGATGTCACTCGCATTGTTGCTCTACCCTTTGAACGGGGAGAGCAGATTCTCTCAATATTAGAATCGAATGAGTAAATAAATTCTCAGTTCACTGCCACACTCCTTCAGAGTGCACACTTCAATTTGTCTAACAATGGAGAGGACAGAAAAGCAGAAATCTCTTAAAGCACGGATGAATTTTTTATGGATGCTCAAATCCAGCTGCAAAGAATGGGGTTTTAAATGGTAGCAGCTCTGCTTTTAGCAGGAGCCCCCAGAGACAAAGTCCTCTGGAAGCGTTTTGTGTTGGATTCAGCCCTTCCAAGTGCACCATCCCTTCCTCCAGGCCCATCCCACCAAACCGCTCTGCTGTGGTGCCCGCATCGATCCCACGGAGCTGAGAAGATGGCAGCTCCAAACCAAGGAGCAAAGCAAGCAAAACAAAGCAAACATTGCAGCTGAGAAGATGGCCGGCGAGCAGAAAGGGAGAGAAAAAGCGCTCCGACTTTTAATTTGTGCGGGATTCATCTAGAGGAGACTCTTTCACCTGATGCCCCTGTAATTATAGCCGAAACTTTCCCTCAGATCACAGGTTCCGTCATTGTTGGTTAGCCTAATTAGCCCACGGAGCTGTGCATCTGCAGGGAGGGGCAGAGGAAGGCTCAAGCAGTGCCGAGCTCCATCCTCGCTGAGCGCACGCGCCCTGGGGACACCTCCCTACTGCTCTGTCAGCAGCATCCCACTGCAACCCATCGTGTGCCAACGTGTTCCACCGCGTCCCATTGTGTCCCATCACGTTCCATTGCATCTCATCGTCTCCCATTGCGTCCCGCTGCATCCCATCACGTCTCCTTGCGTTCCGTTGCATCCCATTGCATCCCATCATATCCCGTTGCATCCCATCGTGTCCCACTGCGTCCCATCAGCTCCCGTTACGTCCCACCACCACACCCAGCTCCTGCCTGGCCCCAAACTTCCTTTTTCCCCCAACCCCGCCATGCCCCAGCAGTGCCAGCCTAGTTGCCTAATTGTTACCGACAGGTAAATCAGAGGTAAAAGAGAGCTAATTAATTTTCCATCCCGGTTTTATTTTACTGTTACTGTTTTGAGAAAATATAACTAAACCCCATTAGTGTTAAGGTAAGACCATGAAACAACATAATATAATGCAAGAAAGACATTTAATAGCGTAGAGGAATGTTAAATTACTAATTAACTCCAAGTTACTGTATAAAAAAGCATAGTAATTTACAGGATTATTGCAATATGCAGCTTAGATTGCCACAAGGGTCAGCTAGGGAGCATTTCGTTCTATTTCTTTCAGTGTGGTGGTTATTGTAGAATTCTTCTCACATTAAAATGTACTGTCCTTACCCACAGTTCATTGCTGCTAATTAGCGGCGGTTGAGATTTCCCTAGCAGTCATTTTTTTCTCTGTTCAGCTGCCAAATGTTACCAACTGCTCGCGATGCTCCGCGCTGTCCGGCTGCCCGCCCCGCTCCGTGGCACTGCTCCGTGTCGGGTTCAGCACCTGTGCCAGGGAAACACTAATCTAATTATTTGTAGTGCTTTTGTTGCACGGAGGCGGCCGAGCCGAGCGGTTCGTGCTCTCAGCGCAACTCAGGAACGGGCATTGCTTCCTCCTTGCTCCTCGGCGCACCGCTGAAGCACTTGAAACTGGAATCTCTCCAAATATGTCTTTTGTATGTCTTCAAAAGCGAGTGTTTCCGCATTCTATTTAAGCGAGAAAAGGCGTCTTTTAGTTTTTTACCTAAATATATAAGAAGAATGCCACAACTTTGATTAATAATTGATTAAATAAACCATCCGGACATCAAAGGCAGGAAGAGGAGCTGTTCCACAGAAAGGCTACGCTATCAAATAGCACTTTGTTGTCTTAAACACCGCTCAGATCTGCAGCATTACATGGCACATTCATGTCTGAGGTTATAAATGGCGCTGCTTTCCAAAGGGTTTTTATTATCTTTATTTTAAGGAGAAGAAGAATTCAGATCTTCTTCTATTTTGGTGTGGGGTGTTGCTTTTTTTTTTTCCTTTTTTCTTTTTTTCCCCAAATTTAACAGTTTGAAAACACAGAGATTTGGATGAAAACCATCCAGCCCCGTCCTTTCCTCTCTCTTTTGTCGGCTTTATGACTAATTTATGTTTAACCTTCTTGAGAATACACTTTCTAAAAAAAAAAAATTCAAAGCAACTTTCACTGGTGCCCAATCCTGGGGCAAAAGGTCTCAAGAGCCCTGAGATGGTTTGGAATTGATGGAGGTGACACGATCTTTTCCACCTCCTCTTCACAGTAGTAAGAGCAATCAGGAAACAACCGCTAATTGCTTCATCAAAATTAAGCTTCTCTATCCTCGTACCAATTATTTCAGCGTTGCTCTTTGGCGTTCCATGCGCCTGCTATCCATGCTCAGAACAAATCAGGCCTCTCGACTGCAGCGTGTTTCCCGGAGTCGCTCAATAAAAGAGGGTTTCAGACGTCAGCTCTCAGCCCTTCTACCTGCTGGCACCTTTCTCTTTGCCTCACCAAAGCCGGCTGAAACGCCGAGCACCTGAACGTACTTGCACTTCATTTACACATGAGAAAGGTTTGTAAAATCTCCGCACGACAAGAGTGAAAAATTCCTTCTGCTGACACGGATAAATCCATTCGGTCGGTGATCAAACCGGTAGCCCAAGGGCAACAAAGAACAAGTGTCAGCCACATTCGCTCTGAAGTTCCACAAAAATACCCCCTGGGAATTCCAATCATGATGCTCTATATCTATATTTATATAAGAGGTAGGAAAAATAACACGTATATATATTGCTCATATCTACATGCATCTACATACGCTCATATACATATATATGAAGGCATTATAAAGGGCAGAGAGAGTGGATTTTGAGGACCTTAACCAGATTAAGAACTTTTAAGCTGCTTTAATTTTTCCTCTGAAATATGATGGCCAGAGTATTTCCAAGTGAAGGGCATTGCTCTCTGCTAAAGATACCTTTTTTCCTCTGTGATCCGTACCTAACACCTATAGTATATATATGTAATATCTACGTGTTGTTTCTCTGTGCTGTAATTTAGGTTACATTCCTTGAATACTTCTTTTTGGTAGCAAAATGCTAAATATCTTAAGAGACTACAAATATATTTCTGTGAGTGATGAAGAGAGCAGGAGATGAAAGAGCAGAGCTGACACAGCCCTGTGTTATTTCCTACATTTTGCTTCTGTTAATGCTCTCCCTCTGTACACTAATTACTAGAGCATCAGCTTCATGCACAGACCTTATTCTTCTGCTAGTACCTTGGAAAAAAAGCAACACAAAAACCAGGAAGTGAGACAGGTATCAGGGGTACAACACGAAGATATTCGGGCGCATGCTGAATATAAGCATTATATTTGTGTGTCTGTGGGGGGGTTTGAAAGCATGTGTGCAGAGAAAGCGACCACTCTCTGCGAGACCCCAACAATTCCTGGATGCAGCTGATAATCTTTGATTATTTTTCCAAAAATGAGATTTTTCATCCCATCTAGCTAGCAGACCGAGCCAATCACAAGCCCATTTCCATACCGGCAAGGTTTCATATTACTTTGAATTATTAAATCCAGCCCACGGTTACCGATACTGTATGTGCTCTTGGAGAGAAAGCACACACACACTCATGCACAAACTTTGCATGAAGATTGAAAAGCGAGGCAGAAGAATAAACAGAGCAGCGGGGAAAAATAAAATATTTAGTACCTACTTTTCATTTATAGGTGGTACAATAGGTCACAGTTCTCCACTATTTCCACACCTAAAAATAAAGCACCTTGAAATGACACAGATCGAGGGGTTCCTGGGATGTAGCAAGCCCATATTTATTTGGTTGGGTTTTTGGATTAATTTTTTTTGAATGAATCCCAAGATTGCCCAAAACAACTCTATAGGTGCCATCACCAGGGCAGCGCGAGCCAAAAAACAAGACTCAAGTGCCACTTCCCTTGGGCTCTGCCCCATCTCTGTGCTGCTGGGGCAATGCCAGGAGACCCAGGGCCCTAATGGAAGGGCACAGACATCAGCACCCCTTGGCAGTCAGCGCTGCTCTCGGCGCAGATAACTCCAAAAATAATCAGAGCGATGCTGCACGCTGCTCCTGGTCAATTAGATCGAGCGATTGGAGCCTGGGCGCTCGGTAAACAAGCTCAGAAAATGTCCAGGACCGGAATACTTATCTGCTTCTACACACTCAAAATGATTTTCCACTTCCCATATGGAAAAATGATAATGCAGAAAGCGGATGATTGCGAGTTTGCAGTGACTCCAAGTGACTGGCATTGTTATTCATAGCACTTACCGGCTGGGACGGCGGAGCTGCACACGAGCCCTCCCCAAAGGCAGCACTGCCTCTGGGATGCAGGAACCTTCCCCCAGAGTGTGGTAGGAGCTGCTGAAGACACCACCTCGTCCATGCAGACCCAATTAGCCAGCAGAGACAAAACCAACTGGAGAAATGGAAATGGCTCATCTTGCAGAGCAAGGACAGGACTCACTGTGCGCTTGCATCCTGTACACGCGTCTCTCCTCTGCTTTCTTGGGAAAACTCACAGCTTCAGCATAAACTCTTGCTCATGGCTGTAAAGCAACTGTACAGAAGACAAAAATGGAGATATGTGGTAAGAGTTAAAAACAAGTGAGTGTGGAGGATGGCACAATCCATCATTGGAACAGGTTGCCCAAGGAGGCTGTGGATGCCCCATCGCTGCAGGCATTCAAGGCCAGGCTGGATGTGGCTCTGGGCAGCCTGGGCTGCTGGTTGGTGACCTGCACACAGCAGGGGGTTGGAACTGGGTGAGCACTGTGCTCCTTTTCAATCCAGGCCATTCTAGGATTCTATGATTCATCCAGCTTTCAAGAGCCACGGGGATGTGGCACTGAAGGGCACGGTGGGCTGGGGTTGGGCTTGGGGATCCTAGAGGGCTCTTCCAGTCTTCATGGTTCCCTGTTTCTGTGATTCCCACCACATTAGCCCATAGCATGTAGGGATATTTTCACATCCCTGGTTTGTGCCAGAAGCTCCTGCAGTACAGGAAGGGAGCAGGGAAGCTCTGTGGACTGAGCTCCTGGGGGCTGATCTAGAGCAAGGCAGCAATGGGAAATGTGTATTTCACATTTCCTACTGAAGTACTGCATTCAGGCTGTACTGAGGACTTCAAAACACCAATTTCTGTATTTCTCTCAATAGTCTGATTTGTCTCATCTATGGTGCAATTGCTCTGAACTGAATTTGTATGTAAGCTATCAATGGGAGCAAATGGGAGCAGGCAGCCCTTGGGGAACAGGCTGTGTCATCAAGGGAGCCCATTGGGTGTTATGGTAGAACTGCAGGGTTACAAACATTGCGCTAGAAGAAGAAATGCAATTAATTCCCTTTTAAATAAAGAGCCCCCCTCATCTTAGGAGACTTGAAAACAGTGCATCAGAACACCCATTTAATTTGAACATACTCAAATCGTATTCACAAGACTGTAAGTGATTTTTCGGTATCACATGACTGAACTGGGACTCCAAACTCGCATGAATCACAGCCAGAGAAAGTCTGAAAGGAAACTGATCCCAAATCCCAGCTAACAGCCGGTGCTTTCGGGGAGCTGCGGGGTTTTAATTGCTCTGTTGAATCAGAAAACCGAGTGTCTGCTCTGCCATTACCGCTAATTAATGCACTGACTGCTCTACGCTAGCTCGACCAGGACAACACATTTTGGGGTTGCCTGTTTTTTTGTGTTTCAGCACTGATCGTTACTGACCTTGTGTAATAATTTGGGCGCAGTTCCCCTGCTGATACTGAGATCCTCGCTGTTGCTACTGACTTGATGGAGAACAAAGTTAAAGCCACTGCAGCGCAGCAATCACGGACGCCGCTCAGTTCGTTATCCTGGTCGTTCTCAAGGTCTGTTGGTCATTTCTGTTCCCACTGCTCCTCCAGGAGGAGTTACAGAAGCTCTGAGTGATGCTTTAGAGAGTTTATGATTAGAGCTTCAGTGACCTTTTACCTTGATGCTCTGAGATGCCACACAGTGCTTCCTGCAGACTCTGCTACTTGGTTGTAACCTTTACTATCCCAATTCAAATCAAACTTCCTCTGATTAAAAATTTCTTCTCTATGTAATTAATATCTTCCTCCTTCCTTTCTTCCTCCCTCTCTCATAAAGAATTTAAATAGAAGATTTTTGGATGCGATGCCTCAAAATATGTTTGTTTTTTTTTTGTCATTACTGTCTTCATTATTTCTTAATGAACAGCTAGCTCATTCTCCACACTGTTGATATGCCTCAATATTCAGCATCACTGTCAGCACAGATTTGCTGTTCTTCCCAACATTCATTGAAGAGGCACAAATAAAATGTGTTTCAGACTTTTGCTGACTGTCATCCCCATCCTGCTCTCGAAGGTGGCCTTGGGGCATATCTCAGAGGCAGCACAGTCCTTTTTCATTAGATCTCTCTGATTTTGTATCGCGTAAAAGGGAAATTCTGGTACGTTTAGCAAACCATGTTGCTCTTTAAAAATGATGAGGAATTGGAGGTGTTTCTCAATGCATGTAGAAGATGATTATTACCTTCTTGAGTAACGTTATCAATATGTCTGACTACCTGACGGTACAGAACTAGGCAGGCATTTTTGCTGACACATTAAGAGTTTTAGTGGTTCTATACATAAGTTAGCTAACCGCAGCCAAATACTAGGCCTCCCAAAGCAATTCAGGATCTCAGAGAGATATACATGCATTCCCCTGCGACAGCACCCCCTCCTTTCTGGCTAAGCTTTCCCCAGGAAGCCTTGCAGGCACTCAGCACTGCAGCCCTTCCCCCTCTCACTGCTCCTGACGGAACACCAGGGACCCAGAAGAACCTGGTTCTGTGTGTCCCAGAGCTGGGCACTGAGAAGACCTTGTTCTTTATTCCTCTGTCTCATGATGCCAGTGACATCCTCTTCACGCTCTGGGATCTTTTTCTTTTTTCTTTCTTCTGTTTTTTGCCAAATATATGGTTCCTTTCATAACACATATAATGGATTTTACCAATTACATTTTAACTCTTCAATCCCCACAGGGAACTTGAACCAAGGTTTTGAAGTTATTCTCCAAAAGAGGAGAGCGGGGAACCAGTTGGATTTTTTACCTTTTTTTTTTTTTTGTTATCTATGATTGGAATTTCCTACAACTCTGCTTTAGAAATCTTCTAAATTTTCAGTAAACCTCCAAATACAGTTTTGTTGGACAAAAATACAAAATAACACGAGCCTTTGGGCATGGATTTGTTCCCCCCCTAACACGAGGTGCTGGGGCAGGTTCTGCTCCTTTTCTCCCCATACAGACACATATTGCATTTTCTGGGTTGTTGCCCACACAGACAAATTTTGTGACTTCCTTCTGCAGAGCTGCAAGAGTAATGAGAAAAAAAAAAAGAAGAAGGAAAAAAAAAAAAGGAAGGGAAAGGGAAAAAGAAAAGCTACGGAGAGCCCACACCCCCATCATGGCTCCGTGTGCCCCAGCTGCACATCATACATGCGGAACATTGAACCATCCTCTTAAATATTATGACATGGAGAAAATCACATTGTGCTTTAGCCTATCAACAAAGGAGCAAAGCAATTACAGAGCTAAACACAGTCGAGGAAGACCCAATAAAGAGAAATCCAAGAAAATTTGGTGAAAATTCTTAGGGGGCCTTACAATGTTTAATCATGCTTCAGGCCTAAATTAATATTCTGCTTCTAATTCAAAAGCCTGAACCACAAAGGTACATCTTTTGGGTATTTTTAATAACCGTCGTACAACACTCTGTGAATTAGCAGCTGGTCTGACTGGTATTTTACCTTTTCTTTGCTTACTCAAGTAAAGCAGTTAATATTAGTATAATCATCAAACTAACATTAGCCAGACAGAAGGACAGATTTTTTTTTTTCTGTACTGTAATGCAGAATTATAAAATAAAATAAAAAACAACAACAAAAAAAAACCACAACGAAACCAAGATTTAGGAATTCCTCTGTGTATTAGTTTAAATAATTTTTTTTTCCTAGGCAGTTTCAATAAACCAAAAGATCTTTGTTGTATTCAGCCATTTTATAAGACAAACAATAGATTAAAGAGCACCCAGGCACACGGGAAGCAGGAAAACCTGCCTCCCGCTGGGTGAGAACAAAGAGCTGAGCACACACTCCTACCCATGGCTGCTGAGTGGCATGAGCAGTGAGGATGGAAGGAAGGCAGTGTGGATGGAAGCAAGCCCATCCTGCTCACTGCAGGCAGAGCGATGCACAACTCACCTGCCAAGTGCAGGTTAGTGGGCCTGCTTCTGAGCTCTAAAACAGACCCAAACTTCTCACTGCCATGCCTCCTCCTTCCAGCCCTGCTATTTTCAAATGTGACATCAGGTCAGATGCTTGGTTTCACATCTGGTTTGTGGAGGAACTGGTCTAACTCAAGTTTTAGCTGGGTTTGGGCAATCATGTGCAGTTGTCAAGGAGAAAGAGGATTTCCTCTAAATGAACAAGAGAGACTGGAAGGAACAAAAATGTTGAACAGAAGCCTCTGCCATTGAGAATCTCATTGAGAAGTCTCTGCCATGAGATCAAACACTGCTCACAGACAACCCACAGCTGGCCCCACCTGAAGTCTGCAGGTTTCTAATTTGGATACTGACCAGAGCCACGGACTTTGGTACATAGTCCCCATTTTCATACAGTTCCTACTTAATAATCCCTTAAAATTACAGCCCAGGGTACCTGAAGCTGTGTCTGTGATAAGCAAGTAGTATAAACACCTGCTTGTGCTGTTCATCCTGTAGCTCTCAAATCCCACTCTGACCATACGCAGCCCCTAGAGCAGAGCAGGTCAATGACATGCAAAGCTTCACACAGTGCCTGGTATTGTCTTGCTTTTGCTGCAGATAGACAAAAATAACAAATGTATGTAAATACAAAGCAAGCAGGCAGGATAGGAGTTGAACCATTCTTTTGAATCTGGGGTTGTATGAATCCCTTATGGGCAGTGTCTCCATTAACACCTGTGTGTACATGTACCTCTGCAGCTCTCTATGGGTTACACCATTCTATGTTACAAAATGCTCCAATGCATTTTTTCTAGAGGAAAATTCCACAATGCTCCTGACCTCACCATATCCCCAGCAGACATGAGGACCCACACAAGCAGAGGAGGCAATGGGTCTGATGGGAAACAACAGGGTGTAAAACTCTGCACCAGTGACCGTGGCTTGCCAGCAGGTCTCTTGGTGGGGACGTGCTGCTGGTAGCTTCTTTAATATCTTCATGGATTAATGCCCCAGGAAAGCACAGCTTACAATGTGTTTGCACATGGTCTTAGCCAGAGTCCCTTGCTCTATGCTGTGCTGATTCCCTCTGCACTGGACCATCTGCTTCCAGGGAAGACAAAGAAATACCAGGAGCCCCTGCCCACCTGAACTCCAGCAAAGAAGCCCCTGAGCACTCATCAGCCCTCACCAGAGCAAATCCTCTCGTTTTTCAAGGAAAAAAGTACAGTTCTGCACTTCTTTATTTCCCATAGTTGGCTCAGCAGTGCATCCTCTGCCTGTGTTAC